GAATAAAATGGTATTTTATACCCAACCCTGATCGTATCCAGAATAAACTCGCTACATCCAATACTCTCCCAGAAAGCTAACCGATCTCTCAACCGACCTTTCACCCTTATCTTAGCTTGACCTTGTTCATATTCAAAGTAATCGTCAGTAAGTAAATACTCATCTTTTATCAAGTCATTCTTTTCCGACTGTCGGGAGCACTTTTCCTTGGTTGGGACACTCGCTCCTCCAATGTTGGAAAGATCCACAGCTGTGACATGCTCCTGACCGACCTTGTCGCTGCGCGTACGCGTGCACGTGTGTTCCACCTGTGCCGGTAGGGCCTGACTGGAATACGGGAAAACCACTGAACCAAGGCTCTGGGCATTGGGGTCCACGAAAGGGCTGCTGATAATTGGAAATAGTACCACGCATATGGCCCACAGCACCACTAGACTTGTTATAGCCCGCGGATTTCCTCGCCTGCTGTTTTCCTTTTTTCTTTTTAATCGCACGGTTTTCGGCCCTGTTGATCTTCCCTTCATCGTCCGAATCACTGGCAATAGGATTGTTCTCGTACTGTCGGACCGTCTCCCAACCTCCATCGCTAGAATCTGCAATCTTGATATGTTTATTTCGTTTTGAAAGTTTATCTTGGATACTGTTCAACAATTCCTGGGCGTAGTCCTGTTTGGCGTTTTCTAAGGCCCGACTTATTTGTCCAACTTCCTCAGCCAGCTCAGAATTGAAACCATGTTGTACCTTGTTCCCTTCAAACTTCCATTTATACGAATTTTCCACTTTCAGTTTTTTAATTTGTGTGGCCACGTTGGCGGCCGAACCCTTTACCTCGGCCTTGAGCTGACTTATCTCCTGGCGCAAACTTGTATTAATGGCGCAAAGGTTGTTCCCCTGGGCTTTCACAGCGTTCCATATATCAGTCAAACTTATTTCGCCATTCCTTTGTGTTTCGTCTAAACCTTCAGCCGTATCCGCCATGGAAAAAGTAAAGTGTACCAAAAACTCAATACGTGTCTACCTGTCGAAGGTGGTCGCCTGAATGACACGTACGCCAAAATGCACGTGCATCGCCGACACCAAACGGCGCCACCTAGTGGCACACTCTCCGGTCGGAGAAAATAATTTCGTTCTAATTCCGCTTACTCAAACGAAAGAAATCATATTTGTATAGACTGTATAGAAGGTGATTCTATACACTGACACAGCAATAAACAGGCTACATGAAACACCCCTCCTACATTAAGCTGACATCATATATCTGTTTAGTTGGTAGTTACAGAAATAGTACGTACAGAAATATAAATCTAGATTACTTGACTAGATTAAGTGACCTAGTTAACAATAGGCGTGTAACTATATTTTAACGATTTCAGAAAAAAATACCGTAAAGCGTACGTAATGTGTTAACGGTGTTACACATGGGAATGTTTGGCAGGAGAGAAGTCAATTTGTGCACCAAACATTAAGAATTAGAGCAAATCACCCTATCCGGCGGCTTGTTAACTACAAACAAGGGTGCACCAAAGTGTAACCATCCGTTTTGGGGCAAATATAGGGTAAATATATACACACCAACGTATCTTGATTTACAGTGGATGTAAAGTCATTTGCCGACTACTAGCATCAATGTAAAATACTACTCTATTAAACTATGGTTACATTTAAAACGATGCCGAACTCACCTCTGAAACCTTGTATGGATATTAAACTAAGAAGAGAACACAGACCAGCAATGGACGTCATTTTCAACAGCGCCGCGGAGTGTTACAGGGTGAGGCGATACGTAATGTTTACATATAGACGTACCAGGAACAAGTATAACACTAAAAAACCGCACCGATGTCAGGTCTGAACTACATACTTACTGGTAAGGTGAGCTAGTTAGTTGATTGAGGCAAAAGAGAAACAACAGATTAAACTGTTAACACTGCCACAAAGTTTGAAGCATTGAACTCGTTTAAAAACGAACTATTCCATTAAAAGCACATGTTGGTGTGCATTTTACAGAACTATAGCTGCACGAAAATGAAAGATGGAAGAATATTCACTTATTTAATATGTATAAACGTTATCATTATCAGGTCATACATATTACCAACATTTATTTTTTAATGTTGGAAAAAATACTTAATAATCATCTTTCGTTACGTCATTAGTTTGTGCGGGAAAATTACGTCGTTTTCTCAAAAATTGATGACGTTACTCTCACAAACAAGTGACGTAACAATCAATACCTGCTCCCAAGAGAAGATAACTCTGCAATACGCAAAGACGGAAATATCCTTATGTATCATTCTGTGTTCTGTCAAGAAGATGTGATTCTATGGTATTGGATATACAGTATATATGAGGGATTTAACAGACATTCTACTTACGAGGTAAGAAATCAGATGCATTATACAGTAAGGCTTGTCATAATTGTCTCCTCTTTGTAGAGTGGACATCTGTGTATAATGATCAGGTAGATTAAGTACGAATTGTGTAGAATTATAGGCGGATATGACTGTACAGTGCAATTAAAAGTTTAAATTACTGTATTATTATGTATTTACTTATTAACGTTATGTATTAGAACAATAATTGGTAATAAAATATCAGAATATGCAGTATCTAGTGTAGTCAGCGACCATGATAGACAAAGTATGCTTTTTAAATGTGTTGTTTGGGGATGAGAGAAGTGTGTATGTGTTTCATCAGAAGTTTTCATAATGTGTATATGAACCTGTGTGTAAGGCAGGAGGCAGATGTCATATTATTGTCATATACTCTTTTTTTCCGCTTCCTTAAATATTAAGATTACACCTCCTCAGTTGTGCACATGTTTTGTACAGTTTCCATAAATAAACTTTACTATATGATACCACCTTCTTCTTCCGCAAAATGTATATTATTTCATTTAACATCAGGAATTTCAATTGTAGTATTATAAAACTAGACATCACCGATGTTCTTACTTGAAGTTTGTACAGTGTAAGTTTAGCGCAAGATTTTGTGAACTTAGACTATTGGCAGAATGTGTAGTGAGGGTTTCAAATAATGCACAATACCAGTTAGCATTCCTTCCGTATTGAACACTGTGTAGTCCGTTATTTAGCTATTATACATGGAATGACAAGAAGTAACAACAATGATATGCCGGCTTCTGATCTAGCGATGTGTGTACGAGTTATCTCCCAAACGTTCTCTCTTTTAATGTATGCATACTGATATGCAAATAATATTATACAAAATTCTGAGCATTACTTGCATTTATTAGAGATATCATCCTCTGATATTGGTACGTTTGGCTTGCTATTTTGAGAGCATAGCATCAACCATTGATTGCTCCCCTTATGTCACATGTTTTGTGTCGCTTTAATAATCTTCTACATTGTACTACCGATGTAACGTCAAAGACAACCATTATGTTACGCACATAAGCTACTTTTGAATCTATCAATAGCCACCCAATTCCTCTTTCTATGTTAAATTGTTAATAACTCAATCTAACTGATGTAACATGTATACCTGTATGTATAGACAATCTAACTGATGTAACATGTATGCCTGTATGTATAGACGGTGTCTGACTGACTAATTATTGTCGGATGGCTCCCTTCGACTGGGTCTTGGCAGTTTGGGGATTGTTATACTTATCATTTATTGTTGTCCTTATCTGCTTTGAGTTATAACATATAATAGTCTCTCTCATTCTTGGGAGCTGGTTAGAGCGGGGTGTTTGATGTGATTTGGTCAGTCGGACACAGTCAATTTTGATTTTACTTATTGCTGATATACGTACTTGATATAGGAAGTTGCTGAGCAAGAATCGATTGTTAATCAATTATTATTTTTTCTTTTCTTTTTGCACGAAAATCTCATTAATCGCGTACTTAGCACCAACAATTTGCACCTTATATGATGCACTACTGTTATTTGTATATATTTCTTAATATGTTGAATCTCGTGTTGTTTTTCCCGGTTGGATCATATATTTCACCACCCATATGTTTTTGGATTGAATACGTGGTTGCTTGTATGTTTGACAATATTCTTGCACGGCCGTTTTCTACGTTCTGTCCTGGCATTACATAATGCCTATATGTACTGAACTTTACCGTGCAAGAATAGGTCGATTTATGTCTCTATCCTTAAAATACTTTAACTTACAATCACCAAATTTGCTTATTCTTCTTCTTGGCATAATAGTTGGCATATTTTGTTATTCCATCGTTATGTCCCTTATGGTCGATATCTATTTATGGCTCGCTAACAATGTGCAATTGTTAGGGTGTGTGCAATATTTCAACTCATCAGGCTATTTGATACTTTCCAGTAATTTTAGTTTTGTAAGAGAAAAGGCTATTGTCACCTTCGTTCTATCCTTCTCATTGGCATGGCTACTGTGTCTAAGCGGTGATATAGAAACAAATCCAACCCTCAAACTCCGATCGGTCCAGTTCTATCAGTGACACGTCTAGCTTCTCGTCGCTACTCTCTGACGAGTTGCTTAACTCTAATAACGTATCATTCGTTCATCTGAATGTACAGAGCCTACGACCTAAACTCGACCTTCTCTTCACTGAATTATATAGTTTTAGTATTTTAGCATTTACCGAAACTTAGTTAAATGAATCACAAATCGATAGCGATATTGAACTACCGGGCTTTCAAAAGCCTTTCTGTTGTTGTAGATCTGATAGAATAGGCGGAGGAGTAGCAGTTTATGTAATGAACGATATATTTGCTAAAAGACGACATGACATTGAAGTAGGTGGCAAAGAATGTGTTTGGATCGATATTTCACATAGAGGACACAAACAGCATGCTATTCGGAACTTTTTACAGACATTCCATTGACTTGGCATATAATACTGGTATTGATGATATAGTTATAACGGGAGACTTTAACTCAAATGTTTTCCGCCAGGGTCCTCATCTTACAAGGTTATTGAATATTATTCAGCTGTATGGTATGTCACAGCTCATCAACGAATACACATTTTATACTGAAACAAACTCTAGTCTATTAGATACAGTATTAGTAAGCAATGATTCTATTGTTTCTCGTTCGTATGTAGGCGAACATTTTTTAGAACAGAATACGCGCTATCATTGCCCTGTTTAGGGACTACTTAGTCTAAAACAACATCGTATTAATTGTAACAAACGAAACATATGGTTGTTCAAATATGGCGACTAAGATTCGTACTTACAGATGTTCATTGGAACGATCTTATACTACCGGATGATCCTAATTAAACTTGCAAGAACTTTACTGAAAAAATCATGACCGTTGCTCGAAAATGTATACCTGTAGAGTCTGCAACAATTAGACCATGCGATCCGCCCTGGATGTGTAATAAAATTCGTAGACTGATTCGTAAACGAAAAAGAACTCATAAAATTGCTCGATCTTCAAATTCCCCTATTGACTGGCTTAATCTCAGACGGTTATGTAACAGATGTGCTAATGCTTGTAGAATTGCTAAAAAGAAATATCACAACAAACTTACCTCTAGCTTACGTGACACGAATAGTCTAAATAACAAATCTTGGTGGAATACTATAAAATTATTTATTGGCAACCCTGGTAAATCAAACTCAATTCCAACTCTAGTACATGCTGGTTCCCAATACTAAACAGCGGGTGAAAAAACCAAACTGTTTAATTTCTTCCCAGTTTACTGTAGACGACTCAAGCTCTCATCTCCCCGCTAACCAAACTCCAGTTCATAAATCAGACAATATCATTATAACAGTTGAGGATGTTTGCGATGCTTTATTATCTCCCGATACCTCGAAAGCTTCTGGTCCAGACCTGATGAATCCACGCCTATTAAAAGAGGGCGCACATGAGTTATCTTTGCCTTTATGCACCCTTTTTAACTTATCTATACAAACTGGCATATTTCCTGACTCTTGGAAAATAACTAATGTTATTCCTGAACATAAAAAGAACGAAAAGAACGACGTGAAAAATTATCGCCCTATTCCTCTTTTAAGTATTATTGGGAAGGTAATGGAGAGGTGTATGTTCAAGTATGTTCACAATTTTTTACATGAGTATAATTTAGTTACAAAATGCCAGTCTGGATTTCGCCCCGGTGATTCCACAGTAAATCAATTATTGGCTATTAAAAATAATTTGGGAAGGGCAGTTGATTCGGGAAAAGAAGTAAGAGCTGTGTTTTGTGATATAAGCAAGGCATTTGACCGGGTGTGGCACAAAGGCCTTATATGCAAACTTATTAATATTGGATTAGGCGGTAAAGTGATTTAATGGTTCAAAAACTATTTAACAAATAGAAAACAAAAAGTTACTATCAACGGGGTGGAATCATACTTGACAGATATCAAGGCTGGTGTTCCTCAAGGTTCGTTATTAGGGCCTCTTATGTTTTTAATTTATATAAATGATATTGTTATTGATATTGCCTCTGTAATTAAGCTTTTCGCTGACGACACCTCAATTTATATCATAGTTGATACGCCTTTTTTGGCAGCTGAACAACCAAATAATGACTTAGAAAAAATCTATATTTGGGCAAAAATTTGGCTAGTGGATTTTAATCCACAAAAAACTAAGAGTATTATTATATCAAGGAAAAGAGTCCCTCCCAATCACCCTCTCCTATATCTTAACAATGCCCCAATAGAAAATGTGAACTGCCACAAACATTTAGGTGTTACACTGGTTGAAAATTGTAGTTGGTCTATGTATGTTGATAACATTATCAACAAGGTGACGACTAAACAAAACCTTTCACGGAAAATACGTTTAACCCTTGATAGAAAAAGTTTACAAATATTATATTATGTCAATAAGCTTGAGAAAATTAACCAGGAGGCAGCGAGAATAGTATATGGTGCTACAAAACTTACAAACCTAAATAAGTTGTATAT